GGTTTCAATTCGAATCTCAAAACCGGATTATTCCGATTATTCGGATAATCCGGATATCCGAATTATTTGGATTCGGATCTAAATTCGAATAAATACATCCGCAATGTATTTTATTTTATTATAATTTTAAAATAACATAAATTTGTTTGTTAAAAAATACATTTTATTTTATTTATTATATTTAAAGCCTTTTAGCTATAAAACATTTTTCACTCTCATTTAGTTATCGAATTTAGATCCAAATTCGAATCCAAATCCGCTACAAACTTAAATTCGATTTCGAATCTAAATTTGTTGCGAATCCAGATTTGAATTCGAAATACGGATCCGATATTTTTATTATTCGGGTATCTTTAAAAGATTCGGATATCCGGATAACCCGAATTTGTAGCGTCACATTTATTCGTAATCCGGATAAACGGATATTCGGATTACATCAAATCCGAACGAATCTTGAAGCCCTAGTACCAACCCAAAATAAAAAATAAACATGATCACCGCTGCCAATGTAACACTACGCTAATCATATAAAAATCATTTGATTACATTTCAAACTTAACATTATTTTGCGTAGAAGTCCTTATCTTTTCAGTACCTATTATTTTTGGTATATTGTAGGCTTATTCGTTTAGTAAGGCGAAAATTTAATAGAAATTTAATTTAATATACTTCCTATCTTGCGTAAAGGCCTATTTAATTTTTTCAATATCTATTATTTTTAGTATATTGTAGACTCATCCATTTAGTAAGGCAAAGTTTTATTAGATATATATTTTTATTATTTTTACGAAACGAGGTGTATAATTGTATGTTCCGCATGGGTTTTCGACTTTCCACGCAAGACAAGATATAATATACGATAAGAATGCATTTTTCTTATTTATGAAACATTTTTTGTTAATAACTTTTTAATAAATAATGGGCGACGGTTGAAATCTTTTCAAGGTCACTTAGGGTTCTCATGACCTTAATAATAATATACAATGTATGTCAAGGTCATTGGAGGCCCCTAATCGAAATATTTATTGGCTTATTTATCACATTTTTATCATTTCATTCTTAAAAAATGGTTTTTTCACAGCTAGGAGTCGGCAAAAATCCATTTAAGGGCTTTTATTTTAATCTATGTGAACCTGGCACCGACTTTACAAAAAATTTTTTCAAATATACAATTAAATTAAATGATTGATTTGTATAACCCGTTTATACCACCTTTTTTTTTGTTTGTACCTCAAGCGTTTCAAAATTATAAAAGATTGAATAAAATGCTAGCATTCTACTTTGAGATATATTTCAAATCTGCAAGCGGGTGCTGTATCGGAATTGTTTATACCCCTTTGTACTATCTTCCGTTTTGTTTGTACCCTTAAGGCGATGCTGGATCGAAGGTCGGAAAAATTTGTACGAGGTCGATAAAGCAGACTCTTCAGTGTCAGTGGTATCTCTAAATGAACTTCTTACAATATCTTCTGTCTCACTCAAACACGTGGAATGTCCTTATCTAACTTATTGAAGTATCATCTCTTGGA